GGCCATTTGAATACGCTGACTCTCCACCGAAGCAACATGGGTCATTAGACGAGAGAGACATCGGTTAATGCCATACGCACCAATTGGAGAACACCGGAATCTGCTCCACAATCCTACTAGAGCAGCTGCCACCACTGCCTAACGCTTTCTTAGACATGATTTTGCCAGTGGCCACTGCTGCTTGAGACAGCAACTCGGAGTTCCGTGCAGAATAAATCCCTCCTGCTGGTGACTCCTGTCCTTTCCTACAACATGAGGTTTGGCCAGATGAGTGTAGTGATCTGAGTAAAGCCACTGTTTAGACCCCATACAGGCCATACAATTATTGCTTCCGGACCTTGGAATAAGTCATGCATCTAACGAGTTGAATTTAATGTTGAACGTGGGTCTATGAACCTTCATTACTGCATGTGGCCTCACGCCTAATTTCATGGGATTCCCACTTCGATGTCCATGATGTAGCCCATACCTATTCTAATTCTAATTTTAATCCTCCCAGTCCTTATTAGAATCCTCCTAGAATTAATGGCAAGGGACCAATCCAAGTTTAGTTGTTGGAACCGCGTCTTGATCTACTTGCGCGAAGCCGCGTAGTAAGGGACCTCTTTGTGCCCTTTTAGCTTTGGCGTAAATATATGAGTCCCTCGAAACTTGATTGTTGGCAGTAGAGGACATCATCTGTTCCATCCAAGTAAGTAAACATTTAGGGTGCTTAAAGTGATATCAGAGGACAAGTTATCAAGTGGAAAACCCCTAAAACCAAGTGACAACTTGAAACATTGTTTTCCCGGAAGAAATTTGAACACGGCAAAGATCACGAGATTAGCAGGATTTATTGACGTCATATGATTTCGCAACGACCTTGTGCAGTTGAATAAGACGTCGCGAAATTATATAACGTCAATAAATCATGCAAATCTTGTGATCTTTACCTGGTTCAAGTAATAAATGTTTAAAAAGGCGAAGCCGTTGGGAGTTAGAGCAGAGAAATGGAAAAAAATAAGGATTGGTGGTAAAGCGGAAATAACAAGGACAACGGAGACCGGAATATCCATTTCTAGCTTATCAGCCCTCAGCAGTCAGTTATACCCAATCCCAGGGCTGGCGATTCCCGAGATGCGAACCCGCGACCTTTGATCATAGAGTGTAACACTACCATTGAGCTATGGACCCGTTGATTTTGTCGGTTGCGATCGGGAATATGATGATAGTTGGTTTATAACCAGCGAATGTAACTAGTAATACGCAATATATGCAGTCAGAAGTACTAAATTATATTCTTTTAAGAAAGACGATGCGCATTTTCCATCGCTGAATTGCACTTTTATAGTCATAGTTCCATTCGCGCGAAACCTAAACTTAAAAAGTCTGGACGTTCATGAATTTGATGGAATTTTTTTCGTAAAAACGTGTATTCTGTTACGCACGGCTGCTATATTGTTATTTTCATT